TTTTTTTATGAAATCCACCATTAATGGCAGACCTACGAGCTCCAAGCTCGTTTTTCTGGCGTCCAACAACAGAGACGTCGAGCGCAACATGAAAGGAAGAGAGTTGCTATGGAGATGGCGAAAGACCCAATTCCCAGAATTTTTTATTTTTTTTTAATCGCAGTAGGTCGACAGCGGCCCTAGGCCGTGCGTTTCTCGGCGGCCAGCGAAAATCGCCGGTAAAGGCGCGACGGTCGAGGTTGGGGATCGGCAGACAGGTGAGAGTTACATACGAGATTCAAAATCCCAGAAGTTGAACGCAGGTACAAACATGAACAAATCCCAGATTTGCAGTTGCAGGTTCCGTTCGAAATTGTTCAACCCAGCAAACCAAAATTCAACATTAAAACAATTTTAATTACAGATTTGTGAGCAGATTTTCGTTCGAACAGAACCAAAAGATTCCAATCTTAAATCCCAGATTTGAAACGAACAAATTCAGCAACAACCCAAAATCTTAACGAAAATTAATTCTAAATTAATTATCATGATTAACACATATTTTGATCCATGCAAATCCAATTCAAAACAAATAGCTATGAACACCGACCCGGTGCTCTGATACCACTGTTGGATTTTTGTCGTACGAATCAATCGCACACGCAGCGGAATTTTAAAAAAATTTTCTTACCAACAAGAAGATCCGGTTGTAGCTATTCGATTTTGATCCTAGATCGCGAGAACTTACAGTTTAAGCTTTGTCTTCAACTATGGTATCCACGCAATCCAGATCCCGGTGCACGATCCAACGCTGTGAATCCTTTCTGGTGAAGACGCTAGGAATCCTCAGTCAGAAAGCAAGAAGGAGAGTTTATGTTTTGCGGTGTATCTCAATTATCTGATCTCATTCAACTGATAAAGAGATACCCACCTATTTATAATTAGGCTAAACCTAATTATGTGGGCTTTAGGACAACCTATAGCCCAATAGGTAATTGGACCTAATCCAATTAATGATTTAATTAAGTCTAAGTCCAATTTAAACTTAATTATATATTTTCTATCTAATAGAAAATAATCTCATTACTAAAATTAAATATTCCAATCTAATTGAATATTTAACACTCTCGATTCACTCTTAGCCGGAAAATAGATTGCATATTGTGTGACCCTATAGGCCTTCATATATTGACATAAATCCAATTTATGATCCTTACGAAACTCCTAGACTGCGTCGAAGGACGAACTCAAAATATGA